TAGAGGGAACTTCAACCAGGAAACTTAACATTGTTTAAGGCACAGCATGCAGTGGATATCCGAATTGGATGTACAATTTTAATCAGAATCCGGTAAAGAGGAGACATATTTAGCTGGAGATCTGACCAACAATTACAGCAGGAGTGTCCTTGCTTATCTACAAGGGGTCAGAGATTAGAGAGTAAACACTATCCAGGCCTCTCACAAGTATATGCGCTTAGTTAAGAATTAGATGATTTATGTAGAGAGGAAGAGTTTTGTTTTGAAAAAATGCAACAGTCTATTGTGGTGTTTTTACAATATGACTCTTTAAGGTTTTTTTCTTTCTTTTGACACAGATGGACCCTTCCTTCTTGCACTGGTGACCCCAGTCCAATGCTACATGAGCCCACTGACACTGTGATTTTGGTGTTGGTCACTGTCTGCAGCGGAAATAATTATTTCCAAGACATACATTGAAAGTCAGCTGTCTGACATACAGGAGCCTCCAGGGACTTTGTACGAGGAAGTGGTAGTTGCCTCCATCATTAACCCAGCAGGTATTATACACTGTACTGAAGCAAGTCTGTTCTATTTGAAAACTCCTTTAATTTGTTCTCTTCTGACCCTTCTGAATAAGTAGTGCATTACAAAAACACTGCTTCAGAGGATGTTGAATAGAGCTCCTTCATTGTTTCAATAAACATGTTCTTCAAGGATCAGGCTCCAGTGAGTTAGTAATGACGGAGCTATGAGGATAAGACACATTGTGGCATCTAGTTGGCCAAAAGGTCTAAATGTAATTTGATGATTTTTGGACTGAATATTTCCATGTCAATCAGCCTAACAAGATTTGAGTTTATTCTTTGGCACTGGTTTTACTTCCTCAGCCCTTTAGCTAACTTTTGTCAATACACTCGGGTTTTGCACCACTCTGATTAGACACAAGTGAACTCTTGCTGCTTTGGAAGAACAAATATTCCACAGTGCACTCTGTTAGTATATTATTATGTAGAATTATTCCAATTATCTGCATGCAACATCAATCATCCCTTTACAATTTGTAAGTTGTTTTTTTTGCTTTACCAGGCCAAACAAAACAAAAAAATGTTCCAGTGGCTTTTTCCTGTAAGTACTTGACTCAGCATAATCAGAACCAAGACCTTTTTGTGTACTTTGTCAGAATGTATTCCTACTACAACATGTAAGAGTTGAAATTGTTTGAAGTAAACCAAACAAACAGGCCAGCGTCAGATGTGAGTCACCAGGGCCTCTCCGAAGAACTCGGATGGAAGGTAATTAAAAGAAGAGTGTGTTATCCATCGCTCCTCATTAATGCACTCCGAATTAACCACTTTCAGGAGAGAGGAATGGGGAGGAGGGGACAAGGGAGAAAATCCATGCAGGCTTTAAAGTAATCTCTCTCTGTCAGGTCGGTCCAAACAGGGAGGGTCGGCTCATTACGGCCCCCGCAGGAGATGAATGGGTCAGTCAGGCAGTGAGGAGGGCCGGGCTGGACAGACAGATCCACACAAGAAGTGTGTGTGTGTGTGTGTGTGTGTGTGTGTGTGTGTGTGTGTGTGTGTGTGTGTGTGTGTGTGTGTGTGTGTGTGTGTGTGTGTGTGTGTGTGTGTGTGTGTGTGTGTGTGTGTGTGTGTGTGTGTGTGTGTGTGTGTGTGTGTGTGTGTGTGTGTGTGTGTGTGTGTGTGTGTGTGTGTGTGTGCGTGCGTGCGTGCGTGCGTGTGTGTGTGTGTGTGTGTGGGAGTCAACACTCAATGAACAACAAAGCAAAAATACCTTGCTATATGTGCTATCTCTGCCAGGGAGCAGATGTGCAGGCGGAGGTTGCATGCTGGGATACGAGGCGAGGTTGAGAAGCTAATGTCCGTAGTCAACAATCACTGTGATTTAACTTCACACAGGGGGCTGACACACACCTGGCCAGCTGGGACCAGCATCACAGACACAGAGGGCAAATCACACTGCTTCTGTTAAAGGAACTACCAAGGAGCAGAATAATAATTGCATTCAAGAAAAGTTGTAAGTAAGGTTTTGTTTCCCCCTTGCAGTTGCAAGTGAACTATAATGCATGCATATTTTTCAATATAGAAATATACTATTCCCACATTTGCCACCAGATGTTGCTGTAGTCCTGGGTGTTGTTAAGACCGAGGCAGCTGGCACTTGGTATTCTTTTTAAATGTGAGGACATGGAGCCTTCCTAATTTAATGTATTATGGTTAATGATATTTAAATGTTGTGTTACATTTTCAGCAACCTCAGAGCAGGGATATTTGCCAGTGTGTCTAACCAACTAAATTCACTAATTCCAACAGATAATTTAATATCTATGCATTTGGTCTGTGTTGTTTTTTCACTGAAATGGTGGGGGTTGTGTCGGGTTAGATATTATTCTATATAGTATAAGATGAACTCTGTGAATAGATAATCCAAATTGATATATCTGTTCATCATTCAAAGCAGTGTAATGAGACTGTGGGGTTTCATGTTCATTTAAATGTATTGATTCATTTAATAAATTGCATTTAAACAATTACAGTATGTATCACAGCACTGCATCACACACATCACAGCCTTTGTGAGAAATCGCCAAGGGACAAGCATGTGTAGCACAAACACTCAAACACACACACACACACACACACACACACACACACACACACACACACACACACACACACACACACACACACACACACACACACACACACACACACACACACACACACACACACACACACACACACACACACACACACACACACACACACACACACACACACACACACACACACACACACACACACACACACATTTTCCTTTTCCTCTGCTGTCATTCGCATAAGCAAGGCACACTTACGCTGGGAGACCCTGGCTAATAGTTTCAGACATCTTTTCAACACAAGGACTGTGTAAGGGGCAACTAATTATCATCGCCGACCACTGGCTTAAAGTGAAACTAATACACCTTGAATAGGTCATCACCATTGTCAACAGATTAAGGGGCTGTTAGACCTAATCATTATGTTCATTATTGTTTTTGTTTTTTCAGTTTGTATTCCTGTGTGGCATCACAGACCTTCATGACTGTGAGAACATGTCAGCTATCATTAGCTGAAGATAATTGCCAGCCAGAGTTTCACACAGAGTCCCTCGTCTCTACTTCAGATGAATGGGAGAAAGTGTGGGCTGAAGTGTGTATGAAGGCTGACAGGATGATCGTCATCACATACACTCAGCAACGTCTCAGTGTGACCTTTCACAACGGCAGCATGGACACAAACGATTAGTCTCATCCAAATGAATTAGCTATGTCACTAAACACCAGATTACATAACAGCTTTTCTTTCTCTGACTCCTTTCAGTTTTCTACTTTTTCTATATCATTCTAGTCAGTTGTTTTTTTTGTGCTCTCCATGGTGTGTTTTTGTTCTGTTAAAATATACAATTATTGCTGTGCTTGTGAATCCAGCTGTATGTTTTATTGCTTTGGTTTTCTGTTTGGGTCTAACTAGCAGAAAGACACACATATGGAGCATCCTTGGTCAACTGAACAAGTAACATATCATGTGAATATCTCTCCATGCAGGGATACAATGAACACAACCACACACTAGACTACCAATATTTAGTTGCAATATAACATGTGTCTGCCAAAATAATGGAACACCAGAAGTATATCATCAAATCTCAAAGAACTGGCATGATCTTTAAGCAAATTAATCTTCTGGTCACGTTATCTTTGTGCTTAAGTTTAACAAAACTAGTGTCCCCAACTAACTGATTACAAAATGTACTTTCTATATTGAATTATGAAGATAGAAATACCAGTTGGTGATTGCATTTTCTGATTTACTTTTACTGCCAAAGTATTAATCTACCTCATATCAAGTCTTGTTTTAGACGGACACAACCTTTTCTTCCACGATTTCGACAGGGAGATGAAAAGGGTTCTTTAAAATTATGTGTAGCCATTTTCCCTGGAGTGAAACAGAAGTGTGCAATTAAACTGTGAGGAGAGGAGGGGGAGAAAATACACAAAATAAACAGCTGTACAGTGGAGGCCGCCTTTCCAGGCATACCTGTTTCCTAGGAATAACGTTGATAACAAAAGTGTTATAATACTTTGGAAATTGACAATAACTACAAAAAGTCTCCTTGTTTTTCAGCGTTTTTCTGAGACTAAGATTTACAGATGTTGGATCTGATCCTCACTGCGAAGTAAGCTTTTTTTGACTTCCTGATCAAGCCTAGAGGTCCTTCTGATGAGAACCAACCCCAGCTCACTGCTGGGTCCAAGCCAATGTTTGCATATGTGTCCTTCTTTAACAGAACCATTTCATGCCTTACAAAAATCTCATGTAAGATTTATGTTTAACTTGTGCAATGTTACATTCCACATATGCAACTTATATTTGAAAATCTCATGTGCTTGTATGTGAATGTATAATTTGATTACATTATGTTTATTTATAAGAGAAAATACCCATTCATCTGAACATGTAAATGAGCCTGTTAGGTTCATTTTCATTTCAGTTAGGGTCACTTTTTATCAGCCAGCTAGGTCCATTTCAACATTTATACATCAATGAATTGTTGATTTAAAAGGGAAAATGTTTAACATTACAAATCATTTAAAATGGGAAATATGTCGTTGCCGTTTTGTATGCTAGCTTTGTTTTTATTTCAAGTTCCTTTATGTTTCCTGAATAAAGCACGATGATAATGTAATAACTGTACCGGAAATTGCCATAAGCAATATCATGCATGCAAGGTTTTTACTTTTAACTAACTGATACGCAGTTATTATTACATCCTTCACAGAGGCACATTTGAGTGTCTTAATACGGGTAAGAATGAGAGCGTTTCACACATGATTAATATGACGGATCAGTGTTTGTCAGTGTCAGTGACCCTCTGATGTAGGCCTGCCTATGTGTCTGAGCTGCTATAAAAGCTGCCACCCCTCACGCAGCGCCGTTATTCCCCCTCTGCTTCAGGAAACACTTCACGAGACGCACTCAGCATGTCGGTGGCTCCGCGCACACATTTCCTCCTCTTTCTGATCTCCCTCTCATCCAGGATGGGGCTCAGTCGGTACATTGAGGTAACACTTTTGAATATCAAGAAATTATCGCACATTGCTTAAGACATTGTTTAAGTCAGGCATGTTAAACTGATGTCTGTGTAAAGTTTCAGCTGGCACCTCAAATGTATTGTTTGTGTCTGTAATGTTTAATTTAGGACATCGAAGCTGCAGATGGATTATATTCTCTGCTCAGTTTGGACCAGAAAAGAGATTCTGAGGATTTTATTTTCCGCCGACCTCTCAGTAAGTGCTGCAGTTCACAACAGCTTTATTCAACAGCTGATTATGCTTACCGACTTGGCAAACAACAAGTGGACGCTTTACATAATGAAATAATTAAAAGTATTTTAGGTGAAGCTGAAACATTCAGTGCAGAGGTGTTTATGGTAGTTGTCTTGGCAGGTACAATATGTAATACCCTCTCTTACTATCAGTCAGTATAACTTAATCAATCCATGCTCACAATGATATTGTAAATAATACTTCCTCTTAATTTACTATAGGACAACCACTAAGTAGGATATTTCCCAGAAGTCCACAGAGTGAAATCTAAGACATGTCAGAAATGAACACACTGTCAATATTTATGTTTATTATTTCATGAAGATCACACCAAATTATTGATGTCATTATAATAAAGTAATGTTTGTGTTTTAAGGATGTTTGGACATGCTGGCCACTGATGGCTCCTACACCTTCGTGGCGTCTCGGCCGCAGCTGGCCTGTGCTGCGTTTATCATCGCTGAGCCCAGTGAGGTCATCAGCCTGGAGCTGTCTGACGTCAATATTGACTGCAGCGCCGGAGACTTCATCAAGGTTGGCTCCAAAAATAAAACCCACACAGGCATCCTCCCACCCCCATTTGAGTGGAAGCAGGGTGGTCAGGGCTTTGAAACTCTTTAAATTCTATTTCATCTTCTTATTTTTGTTTAAAATCATGCCAAAAAGGGTTAAGGCAACGTTCAAAGGGCCAAACATCCCACTGGATCCTCTATGAATTGGTCACATTACTCAAAGCAAGAGTAGGAAGGATTTAGTAGTGAAGCCAAGCCCGCCAGTTACACTGCGGTTTCATTTCATGTGGGCCAAACTGATAAAAGGCATGGGAGAAAGAAACTTCAGGCTACGGTTGTTAGAGGATCAGGCAAAGTTGTATCTGATCTGCCCTGATCAGTTCCATTGAGCATGAAGAAAGATGCCAAAGAACTAAACAAAACACATCTCTATTTCGAATCAACACAGATGGTGCTGTAACCTGTATTTGACTTATTCACACAACTAAAGTAAAGTTATGTGTCCTCAGGTAAACCTAATCCTATTGGCTATTACTCAAATGTTTTTTGTTATTGAAAGACGGTGTATTGTTAAGACATGTTTAATAGAAAACATGCAGAGACTAGCACATGTATTCTTTATTATACAGTTAATCTGATATATTTATATTTAAGTCAACCACCACATATCCATTGTCTGTATAAAAACGTTGATGAATACATTCTCCAAATGCATAGAACATCATTCTCATGTAAAGAGGAAAATACCTTTGTTGCTTTATGTAAACACCCCATCTTCACCTGTACACAAAACAGAAGACATTCCCCAAGTAATAACAGAAATATGTTGGTAAGTGATAATATTGATCAAGTGAAATCTAACATTTATTACAATGAGATAAGTGATTTCCCTCCGACAGATGTTTGATGGCTGGGTCCTGAAGGGAGAGAAGTTCCCCAGCAAGCAGGACCACGAGCTGCCTCTCCACCAGCGCTACACAGACTACTGCTCCTCCCCGGCAACAGGAGCCACCAGCCGCTCCTCTCAGAACGTCGCCATGATCTTCTTCCGCCTCCACAGCGCTGACAGTGGCTTCACCCTCGCCATCAAAAAGCTGCACAACCCCTTCCGTAAGTACTGCTGCCTTGAAGTCACAAAAAAATCTTAACCTAAAAAAAAACACAAACAACATCCAGAAAAAATACATTAACAAACAAAATAAAGAAAAATCATATAGTTTTCTAAACAAGTTCCAAGACCATCTTATGTTTTAAAATAAGGGCTACCCTGGTGACTTGTGGTTAGCCATGTGTGCTCTTCCTGGACATGTGTGCCTGGTCGAGCATTAATAGAGGCCTCGAGCGACAGGAAGAGATTGAAGGAGAGGCATGCACCTGTTTTCCAGCTGCTTGACAAACACGGTGTTAACACTGTGTCAAGCAACATAACAATCACAGCCTCTGTGTGAGAGAAAGCCGGACAAAGAAAGACACAAACAATGGAGTTTGAATAGAATCTAAAGATAAACATTATCTCAGGCCAATGTGTGAGGTTTCATTCATATAATGACAACTAACTGCAGCTGTCCCAATACTGTTTCTTTGTTTGATCTGATCTTATACAAGCTTTTACTGTGTCACATATTGTCCCAAATTGTTTGAAATTGGCCCTAAAACTGCATTCATGTACATGTAACAATGTGATATACATACTGTTTATCACAAAGATCATCAAATATAAACATGGTCCTGATGACCAATAAATACATATTTTACCAGAAATAAAAGTTGATTTGATTGACATTCATATTCAACTCCTGTGTAAATCAGAACGGCATTTGAAGGCATAAAAAAAGGAAAGATAAATAAACTAAACTCAATAATATTTATTCTAATAATATGTATTCTAACATTCTCTCCTCAGCTTTGATTGGCACAGCTCCCTCACCATGAAATGTTTCTAATGAACAACATGCTGCATGAGTAAACTGTTCCGACTCCTGTTGGTGCCTGTCCAGTGTACCATACTGTTATCAATTCAAATTTCATTATTTTCTTATCTTTGTCATCAGAACTGGAATTGGATTTCCATGCTCAGCCCTAATTGTGTCCCCTCCCCGCAGTCAGCCTTGATCATGTCCAATTTGTGACATGAGGTGTCAGTAATGAGTTTCTCTGTTGACGGGGAACTGTTAATTTGAAACCTCTTCTCCTGTGTGTGTGTGTGTGTGTGTGTGTGTGTGTGTGTGTGTGTGTGGTGTGTGTGTGTGTGTGTGTGTGTGTGTGTGTGTGTGTGTGTGTGTGTGTGTGTATATGTGTGTGTGTATATGTGTGTGTGTATATGTGTGTGTATATGTATATGTGTTTGTGAAGCCTGTAACATCATGTCTCAGAGTCCAGAGGGCAGTTTTACCATGGTGTTGCCACACCAGCGCAGGAACTGCAGCTTCTCCATCATCTACCCTGTAGAGATCCGACTGACAGATCTTAGCCTGGGGCATGCCAAAAGCAATGAGCTCAGCCCAAAGGTGAGCCAGCCACACACACACACACACACACACACACACACACACACACACACACACACACACACACACACACACACACACACACACACACACACACACACACACACACACACACACACACACACACACACACACACCACACACACACACACACACACACACACCACACACACACACACACACACACACACACACACACACACACACACACACACACACACACACACATCATATTTCCACTTCGTGTACCTAGCTGCCTAAGTAAATTCATCATCATGCAGCAGTGCAGGTTTTTGTCAACAAAGTGAGAAACAAATGGCGACTCAGGGTTATTATCTGCCTTTAGTTCTAATATCATGTATCACTTGATACATCATTTGTAATACTTTCATAAAAAGTGGGGTTATGATACTTTATAGTGAACCGTAATATTTTAAATGTTTTTTATTTAGCTTAAATCTGTCTATATTTTCCTATTCTAAAACGATAACAAATGGGCAGAAATGGAAATATACCTATTTGTGATCTTGCTGAGATAAGGAGATTAACACCATCTCCTTATCTTGATCTCTGTTAAATATGAAACTACATTCAGGAGACAGTTTGCATAGCTTAGGGCAAACAAAATGTGCTTTCTGGCTCCACTTATAGATTTAACGTTACCATACAGACACAAGAGTTCTATGAATGTTCTTATCTAACTCTTGGGAAGAAATTGGTTTTGCAATTAAAAGAAACATTCAAGGATTTGGAGGTCGTCTAACTCAATATTCTTTTTGGCAAATAGTTTACAGACTACCACTGGCGTTTCATTTATTCCTTTGTCAACAGTTGTTATTCTCTAACAGGAGCATTATTAAAAAAAAATAGGGAGGCTGTGGCTCAGTGGGTAGTGTGCTGGACTTCGAATCAGGGGGTAGCAAGTTCGAGTCCCACTGCAGTCAGCATGTCGTTGTGTCCCTGGGCAAGACACTTCACCTCAAATTGCTCCTGTGGGGATTGTCCACAGTAGCCTACTGAATGTATGTAAGACACTTTGGATAAAAGTGTCTAACAAATTACATGTAATAATATAATGGCAAAGGGTTTAGGCTAAGTGATAACACTTGTCAGTTCTCAAAGCAACACGCATTACAGTTTATACATTTTTAACCTGCTGTTTTGAATTTCCCATAAAGAAGTTCTGTATGTACGATGTGAATTAAATCACTTGTATTAAAGAAAAATACCTAAATTAAAACGTTTTTTTAAAAGTCAAAATCATTATTTTTTTATAAAAAACAATGTTTCAAATGATTGGTTACTGATGGTGCCACTCCCCTTGGCTTTATATAGCTTTATAATGACTATCGTATATTCATATAATGGTTCAATGCCAGCAAAAAAACATTTAGGCAATAAACACCACATGAATTCCAGATCTTTTTAAGTAGGAGAAGGAATGAAATGTTGTAAATCATGTAGATAAAAAAGTTAACCAAACAAAATGACTCCCGTCCTGTAGCTGTTTGCAGCTGGTCGGATTACTGGCTGCCAGACATCTGCCATGATAAACGACAGTGACTGCATCTACTGGGCAAAATACAACAACCTGACATGTCTGCCGAAACTCTGAGGAAAGCTCTAAGTGTTACAAATTCAAAAAAGATTTGAACGGGCAGTTTTTCAGGCTAGCAGCTGCACACGATTCTAGTTATGTAAAAAGCACTTGACACAAAATAAATTATAATGGGCCAAGGATTGAACCCTGAGGTACCCTTAAGCTTTATAGCCTTGTTCTCAACAAGGGAACATCAGATGCCTGCCTGTTGAACAGACAGTATGCAGACCACACAATACATTGAGAACTTGCAAATGTGTTGAATGCATTTTCTTTGGTTTCATGTTTGTTTTATGACAGTAAACCAGTGATGTCATAAACACAAAGGAAATATCAATCTCTCTTGCCAGCAGAGATATATTTAGCTTCACACATAGAAATAGAATAGAAGCACATTACTTTTTTGCCATGGTCATTTTACTAGAAAATGCTGGTTGTTATAAGTTGTTATAGTGACAACATGCATCAGTGGGGCAGTAAAGTGTGGTTGCAGGGGGGGCGGATAGCTAGCTTCTTAGCTACTTACCCTTCACCAGGCGCTGGTTCTCAGCCTGACTATAAACTATAACCAGAGTAGCATTATAGTAAATTACTACCATGGCTAGCTAAATACTGGACAGCAGGCTAGTGGATATTGCCACTAGATGTCAAAAAACTGTGTGGGTTGCCTTTAATATAGCACTTTAAATTGCACACTCAATAAGTTAATAGCTTGCCTTAGCTGCACTTCCTCACCAAAATATGTTGTCGTTCTTCTTTTTTGTTTACAGAGGCAGCTGTGGTCGGGCTGTTCGGGGTCGGGAGACTATGTGGAGCTGTTAGGGGGGAATGGGGTGGACACCTCGATGATGTTCCCTGTAGCCGACCTCTGTTTCTCCCTCAGTGGGCTTGGTGAGTCTGAGCCTCCCATGTTTCCCTCTAGTGTCACTCTGTAATTTCTTATTGTTCCAGGAAGAAGTCTAACTTTTGCTAGACAATTACTATGCTGTACTATTATTTGCTTTGCAATGCCTTTCTATGCTATGCTTAGGCTGGCTTTTGTATTTAACTAATATTGTTTAATGTCAAAAGTATCCAAACAATTTTAAGTGAGTTTGACACATTTCACCATGTTGACTAAACAACTCAAACTAAATTCCAGCTGCGTGTTATGATCCTACACATCAGAAGACTGTCCCCTTCAGTTTTACAGCAACAGGATGTTGGAGAAATGTTAAAACATGTTTCCTATGAAAGATATTATGACAGATATGCTCCAGAGGAGTCCTCGAAAATAATAAAACAAGAAATCTTTCCTCATGGTGAACTATTTGTAATGCAAATTTGATTTTACGACTGGATTTTCAACTGATTTAAATTATTGGAAAAAATAAACACTATCCATATTTTGCTATAGTATACATCTTTAATTTAACATCTTAAACGTTTCTTTATACATTCTTCTTTGTCTGGGTGGATTGGTGCAATGCAAAAGAGTTCACACAGAAAAATACTTACACTTGTGATAACCAGGCTGAGAAGCGTTAGCAAGAGAACAAAAATGTTCTTTAGTGCTCCAGCGTAAAGCATCTGTTTTCCTCTCTGACCCTTCAGCCCAGATGAAGATTGGTTGTGATAACTCGGTGGTGAGGCTGGTGTCAAGCGGGAACTATATCAACCGTGTTTCCTTCCAGTACAGACTACTGGAACAAAGCGAACTCCCCAAGACCCAAGAGAACGCTCTGGATAATTTCTGCTCTGTGGAATGAAATAACACACATATAACAACACACATAAACACACACACATACTTATGAACACACACACGCAATCAAACAGCCATCCATTTCTCTGTAAATACAACAGTTTGTTTAATTCAGCCAATACAAACTTTGTATTGTTTTTGCCAAATGTTTTATTTAGTTTCCTAAAAGATCTTCGCTTTGATCGTACAATATTTATTTTAAGAGCGATTTTTATTAATCTCAAATTTATGAAGGATGATGGATTTCAGAGTTTACTTTTTAATCCTTTGTCAAGAAAATCTGTGATACATTATATTTGTTGGCAAGAGAACTATTGTAAACCTTCCCTCTTTTGATCTCAGTTAATATCAGTTTCTGTATTCTTTGGGAGGTTTTACATCTCTGCTTTCTTTTCTGTTTATAATGCCTTGACAATATAAAAATAAATATATGACTTGCATGAAAAAGCACATTTTCTATGGTCTGTTTTTTGAGTCAATGTTTTTATAAGCCTTCTTTCCATTTCATTAAAGTACAGAGTGTTCACTTGGTGTTTGCTTTACTAGTTTGCTTTGCAAGATAAATCAATTTGACTCATAACCAATAGACATTAAAGTGTGGGAATGTTACTTAGTCAAATCCAGCCCAGTTGTATTGGGTTTTTAGTGTTTATTTATCTGGCAGGAGATTTATTCTTATAAGAAAAACTTAATCACAATAACAAACCAATGAGTTTCCTTAAAAAACAACTCAACGGTTCCTCCTGTTATTTCAGGGTGGATAAAGGAGCAGAGATTTGGAAGTTGGTCAGGAGATTCAAATTTGCCCTTTTTTACATTGATGATTAGTCCAGCCTGATATATATCTGCAACTACTGGATCGGCATGATATTTTGTGCAGGCATTTGCCGTTTCCAGAGCCCCCCACACTTATCCTCTCGATTCTCTATGAATTTTACATTAGTGTTGTTTTTTGTGAATCATCTCAACATTACAGTGAATGTGGTACAGACATGCCCTCCTCAGGATAAATTGTAATCACCAAATATCTACAAAACTTAAGACATTCTCGTACGCTTCAAGAGCACTTTGTGTTCAGTGCTATTTCGCAATCTTAGCAGGGAAACACACAATAGTAAGATGGTGAACATAATACCTGCTGAACACCAGCATGTTGGCATTGTCATCGTTATCATGTTAGCAGTTAGCACGCTTTCTGTTCATAATGCCTTCAGTTTTGAATTAATGTAATGAACACATGTTTATGTGGCTTTTTATGATGTATTGGAATAATTGTTTAATAAAGTTGAACAAATAGATAAATAATGTAAACACGCTAACATTGCATTTAGCTCAAAGCACTGCAAAGCCAAGTACAGTATAATTTATGGCTGTGGACTTATGCTGCCCTTCACCAATGGTGAATGATTTTTATAAATATTACGTGGTATGATAAAATCCCTTATGTCATACTGCTTAGTTGAACAATGAGCGGGTGACCATCCATCAATAAAGCACTTGATTCTCTGATGCTAAAGTGAGTTGCTTCTGCATTGTCGAACAGAAACAACAACATTGTATTATGTTCAACATTGAGTGAAGACCTTAAAGGAAGACTTTAGAAGAGTCTATTCCTAGATGAAAAACTTGCAGTTTACTCATAGAACATTGCAATATCATTGCTATACCTCCTTCGAATCACCCTTTTACATCATTCACTCAAATCACCACTGCTGACCAAGCTTCTAGTTACTGGCACGAAAACTTCAACCTCCATCCTGGACCCCCTCCACCCTTGTCAAATCGTGTCTCCCCCAAGTCATTCCTCTGAACACCGCAGTCATGAACTCCTCTCTGTGCACTGGCCTCATCCCCCCCTGCTTTGAAACTCGCTGCTGTCACCCCTGTACTGAAAAAACCCGGACTAAACCCTGACACCTTCAATAACTACCGGCCCATCTCCAACCTCCCATTCCTGTCAAAGATTTTGGAGCGAACTGTAGACTCCCAACTACAATCTCACTTGGACAGCCTTAACCTTCATGAACAATTTCAATCTGCTTTCTGCAGTCGCCACAGTACTGGAACTGCTCTACTCAAGGTCACAAAAGACATTCTCCTCTCTGCGGACTCTGGTTCCCTCTCCATCCTCATCCTTCTGACCTAACCGCTGCCTTCGACACAATTAACCACTCAATCCTCATCACCCGCCTTCAGTCCTTAATTGGCGTAACCGGCACCGCCCTTTCCTGGCTCAAATCATATCTATCTGGCAGAAAACAATTAATTTCCATCAACAACTGCAAATCCCCCATCGCTTCAGTCACTCACGGCGTCCCCCAGGGCTCTGTACTTGGTCCCCTGCTTTTCATCATTTACATCATCCCACTTGGACAGATCCTCCGCCAACACCAACTCTGGTTCCACTGTTACGCCGAAAACACTCAACTCTACCTCTCTACAAAAAGTATTTCTGCAACCACCCACTCCCAACTCACCAACTGCCTCACTGACATCAAAACATGGATGCAAAACAACTTTCTGAAACTAAACTGTGACAAATCTGAAATAATCATTACTGGCCCAAACTCACTAACCCGCTCCACCCAGGACTTCTCTCTAAACATCGACGGCTCCATCGTCAACCCTTCAACTCACGTCCGTAACCTTGGTATCATCCTCGACCCCGCCCTCACGTTCCTCCCTCACGTCAACCAGATCACTAAAACCGCCTTCTTCCACTTAAAGAACATTGCCCGCATCAGACCCTCCCTCTCATCCACCGCTGCTGAAACTCTGATCCATGCCTTCATTACATCCCAACTGGATTATTGCAACAACATCCTCTTTGGTTCATCTGCATACATCCTCAATAAACTGCAATATGTCCAAAACTCCGCTGCCCGTATGCTCACCTTGTTGTGTGTCGGCAACTGTGTTCAATGTTTTTTGTTAGTTTAGTTATTTATGTTCCACTTCCTGTTTTATTTTGCATTCACCTTGAAGGTTTCTAATTTCTCTAATTCCCCTCCTCGACTTCCCTCCTCGACTCCTATCCTCGTGTCTTAGTCCCGCCCACAGGAGATGCGAGCGGAGGAGTCGAGGAGGGGAACCGAGGAGAGAGGAGGGGAAGCAGCAGGTGGTTAGAGAAATGAGAAATCCTCTCCTCTGAGTGGTCATTTTAAAGAGACGTCCATTAATGATGACAGGAGGCACTCTGTCTGATGGACAGAACTGTGTTCATGACAACTTATATATTTACTTTTAATTAATTCACATTGCGGTATAATGAGAAAATAACAGGCTACAGATGCGGACATATATACACACACACACACACACATATATATTTATAGGCTATATATTTATATAAATATATACAATTTCAGATTCAAACAAGTATGAGAGCACTCTCATAATAACGTAACACTATCAGAGACTGGAGTGCGGTGACCCTGAACAGACTGCCGAACACGTAATCACCACCTGCCCTTTATATAGACCACCCTCGGAAGCCAGCCTCTTCGACGTAGGACCAGAGATGCGGGCATGGCTACACAACACCGAGTTGGACCTCTGACGTTACACGAAAGAAGAAGAAGAAGAGACTGGATATACCCCCCCCCCTTCTCTGGTCGCTACAATGGGGAAATGAAATCACGGGCCAAATGTTTTATTTACAAGTATTAAAAGTAAGCATGGGACACCAAACCAACTGAGACCTGTCTGTCTGCCGCATCTATGCACGCACGCACGCACGCGCGCACACACACACACACACACACACACACACACACACACACACACACACACACACACACACACACACACACACACACACACACACACACACACACACACACACACACACACACACACACACACACACACACACACACACACACACACACACACACACACACACACACACACACACACACACACACACACACACACACACACACACACACACACACACACACACACACACACACACACACACACACACACACACACACACACACACACACACTGTACAACACACACCTACAGCTCCTAAAGCATAATATCAGGCTACAGCCGTTGTGTATTTTATTATGTGAAGCACTAAATGGTCTTAGAAAAATATAGACTCTTTGTTTGTAGATATCTACTAAACTACAGTACAGCATACAAATACAGAGAGTAATGTAGGCCTGTTATACTGAGTGATATATATTTTACACACTGCTCTGCTTTCTGCACGGACCTCACAGCTGTTCTCACTGTAAACATCGCGTCTGATTCAAGCAGTTAATAAAATAATATCCAGGGGATGCATGCTGTCATTGGCTGAGATCAGTCCGGCCGTGCGTCACGACTCTTTTAAACATCACTGTTGCCGGAAATACATCCGCGGAGGAGCCATCAGTGTATCCTCGATTATAGCTCCTCCAGAGAGCCTCCTCGATGTGGTCCTCGGTACCCGATGTGCATTTAGAGAAATGAGATGTCCTTCAACATGGCGCGCTAAAATCCATTTCTGGGTCACTACCAGGCTCTCTGGAGGAGCTATAACCGAGGATACACTGATGCATCCTCCACGGCTCCTCCGCGGATGCATTTCCGCATCCGCATCCGCGTGGAGTCATGACGCACGGCCGGACTTATCTCAGCCAATGACAGCTCTGCATGCATCCCCTGGATATTATTTTAGTAACTGCTTTCATCGCGACGCGATGTTTCCAGTGAGAACAGCTGTGAGGTCCGTGCAGAAAGCAGAGCAGTGTGTAAAATATATATCACTCAGTATAACAGGCCTACATTACTCTCTGTATTTGTATGCTGTAGTTTAGTAGATATCTACAAACAAAGAGTCGATATTTTTCTAAGACCATTTAGTGCTTCACATAATAAAATACACAACGGCTGTAGCCTGATTATGCTTTAGGAGCTGTAGGTGTGTGTGGTACAGTGTGTGTGTCAAAGTCAAAGTCAGCTTTATTGTCAAGAATTCTACAGGTTGTACATCCAGAAATCTCGAAATATCATTTCCCGCAGTCCTACAGTGTGACATATATACATCAAACAAAAAACAAAAAGGGCCTAGATAAACATGGTATACATTAAACAAAACAAAGGGCCTAGATAACCGGGGTATACAGTTTAAAATGTTAATACAATTAATTAAGTGTTCAAAAGTACAGTTTCAGTGCAGTAGCAGCGGAGATGGGCAGAAAAGTGAGTTAGGGGGTTAGAGTCCAGGACCATTTGGGGCATGGGACAAAGGTCGGAGGCAGGGTGGAGAATTCAGGGGAGAGATGTCAGAGGGCGGAAGAGATGGAGGGAGGGGAGAGAGTTCAGCATCCTGACCGCCTGGTGGAGGAAGCTGTTGCCCAGCCTGGAGGTGCGCGAGCTGAGGCTGAGGAACCTTCTTCCTGAAGGCAGGAGGCTGAAGAGGCTGTTGGAGGGGTGGGTGGAGTCACCCAC